CRCWMTATRWKATAKMRCRYGYRCACACACAYAWWATATATATATATATATTCATAAATGTATGCTATTAAAAAACATATATAATTTGTATATATATGTTTACATTTGTATAGCTGGGTCTGGAGGGAGCTATATCAACTGTTTACAGAGGTTACCTCTTGGTGGTGGTAGTTATTTCACATGATTTTAGACAGTTACAGTAAAAGAGTATCTGGGGTTCATTTGTCTTTGGTTTGGTGCTTTCTGTATTTTCTCATTTTAGAAACAATGAACAGGGTTCATTTCTTTTCCTTATCAGAAAACAAAATTTTCATTTAAAAAGCTTCACATCTACTTGGAAAGAAATATACAAATTCTTCATATTGTCCTTTTGAGACTACCAGAAGGATCCTGGGATAGCTGGGAGGCTGTCCCTGGCCTGATCAAGGTAAACAGAAACGAGAGACCAGCTGTACTAGCACTGAACGCAGGGTGGCAAAGTTCCAGAAGAAGCCCAAAGTTCTATCTGCTATCTCAGGCAGTGGGCAGATGACCCACAGAGGCAAGGCAGGAGGCGGCGGGCTGTGTGCTGAGGGTCTTCACAGTGGCTCTGCCACAGTGGGTAGGGTAAACAAGAGGGGATGCTGGCTCCTGTTAGCTTGAAAGAATAGTTGGGACTAGAAACTTGTGACCTACCAAAGATTAGACGCTCACTAATTGTACCAAGCAATGGACTAAAATGCTAAATGTAAACAGTGATATCAATTTTTAGAAAAATATTGGTGAATACTGATCTGACTCAGTAAAAGAAAAACTTGAAATAAAAAGATCAAATAGCATTCTAAGAGTCTGGAAATTTTATCTCCATCATAAATGAGCATCAAAGCAGTGGTGCAACTATAATCCTAGTGATTTGGAAGGCTGAGGCAGGAGGATCGCAAGTTCAAGGCCAGCCTCAGCTACTTAGTGAGACCCTGTCTCAAAATACAAAATAAAAATGAGCCGGGGATGTGGCTCAGTGGGTAAGTACCTTGGGCTCGATCCCCAGTATGAAAAGTAAACACATTAATAAATAAATAATAATCACCATTACTTTAAAAACAAAACCCTTGGAAAATCCAAGACAAATGAAAACTGGGGAGAATATTTACAGCAACATCAACAGAGAGGAAAAATTGTTAGATGTAAACACAGGTCAGTAATAAAAAAATTGCTCCAAATAKAAACAAAACATTTTGTATTGGTTAGAATCTGATTGAATTATAAAATAATAGAAAACAACAGTGGCTTAAGCAAGATGGAATTCATTTCTCTCACACATTAAAAAAAAAAGGACAATCACAGTGACTTGGGAGGCTGTGGCAGAAGGATCCCAAGTTTGAGCCCAGCCTCAACAACTTAGTAAGATTCTGTCTCAAAACAAACAAATAAAAGGGCTGGGTATGTAGCTCAGTGGTAAACTGCCCCTGGGTTCAATCCACAGTACCAAAAAAAAAAAAAAAAAAAAAAAAAAAAAGCCCGAAGTTGGTAATCAGGGACCTGAATTCTAGCCCATCCACACCTCTCATTCTCACGGTCCACAGTGGTTGTTAGAGTGCTAGCCAGCACCTCACTGAAGAAAGTAGGTGGGGAAAGTGTGTGGGTGGAGGAGGTGAGTAGAATTCATGTATATACTGCTGCCTTTTAAGAGGACATATGCAAGTCCCATGTGACACTTTTCACTTATATCTCATTGGCCAGAACTTGGTCATGTGGCCACACCTAGCTGCAAAGTTGCCTGGGAAACCGTTTTTTCACTATTGTAAAGGGCTTGGCTGACAATTGGCTTGTTACTAGGAAAGAAGGAAGGAACGGACACTGGAAAGCAATAAGCAGGCTCTAATATATATGTGAACAAAATTATCAAAAGAAAGCAAGTGCAAAGATTTTTAAAGGGTTGGCCTGGCTAACCTTCAAATCTATGTAAAGCAGATGGTCTCCTCCAGCTGAGATCTTGTAGGGCTGGTAGGACAAGCCAGGAGGATGGTCAGGAAGTAACTGTCTTCTTAACAACCTTGACACAGTTGCTCATGAATAGAATTTCAGGGTTTAAAATGCCTCCCAGCTCACCAGGCAGCACAGGGGCCCAAGGACAACTTTCTGGCCATTGTCCCCAAGTCTCCCTCTAACCCCAAGTGACATCAGATTCTAAAAATGCTGGGAAGTAGAGAAAATTCTGCACCCAGGGATTCTTTAACTAAACTATGGCAAGAATTAAATTTTAGGTGTTTTTTGAAAGTTCCTTTAAAAAAAAAAAGTAGTACCCTCATGAAACTGAATCAGCAGTTTCGGAACTTTAAAAAAAAAAAAAAGTACCTCTACCTTGTATTGGGAGGTATCACTGTTAAGTATGAAAATTGGTCACTAAAATAAGGACCAGTGTTGGGAAATGGAGGGCAGTATTAGGCAACCCCAAGTTGCCTCTTTTGAAAAATTTAGGACTTTACTTTGACCCTAACAGACCATGATGTCAATGCTGTGCCCTTCAGAAAGCAGAGAGAAGGATCCTTGAGAGCAGAGGGCTTGGTAAGTGTGGGCACCCAAGGTATCTCAAGTCCACGGTTCTAGTTTAACAGACATCGTGCCCTTTCTCCATCTCAGACTGCCACCGGGCACTTCTCATTTTTTAATCTGAAACCTGACCTTTGGCACTCACTTCTAATTCTAACATTTTTTAAAAATGGGTGTGGAATAGGTAACAAAATGGCAGAATAAATGGATATTTCATGGAGTCCAGGGAGGTGGTCTGCAGTTTGTGGGAAACAATGTGATTTGATGATGAAACATGGATGTACTTTTGAATCAGGGACACCCAGATTTGAGACTCAGCTCTCCTATTTAGCATCTGTGTACCCTTGAACATGTTATTGGACTTCTCTGAGCCTCAGGTTCCTTGTTGTGTGTGTGTGTGTGTGTGTGTGTGTGTGTGTGTGTGTGTGTGTGTTTGTACTAGGGATTGAACCCAGGGCCACTTAATCACCAAGCCACATCCCTTTTAAATATTATATTTAGAGACAGGGTCTCACCAAATTGTTTAGGCCTCACTAAGTTGCTGAAGCTGGCTTTGAACTTGTGATCCTCCTGCCTCAGCCTCTCAAGATGCTGGGAGGTTCCTTGTCTTAAAGGAGGGCCTATACAGTCTTTACCTCATAAAACTATTGCATAGTAAGGTCCTGCAGGACACAGCTGCCATACTCAAACTTTATTTACAAAGATATGGGAAGAGCTGAGGGCAACTCACACGGGATAGTGAAGTACTGTGGAGCTAGGTGTAAAGGACAGGAAGAGGTACAAGGGCCCAGAGAAGGGAGCTGTTGGAGTGGACATCTGGCAGGAGCTCTGAGCTCCAGTGGGGAGGATGCAATTGGCCTGCAGCAACTGGATGAGGACCCAAGTGAATCAACACTTGACCTCATCTTCCTATGTCCTTGGATCTCTTGCTGGTGCTTCCCATTGGCTAAACCCAACCAGAAGCCAGAGGCAAGGGAAGTGGGTGATGTGGCCTATCAGGTCAGCTCCCAGCACAGAGTGGGTACAGAGGGTGGAAGGGTAGATCTTCAAAGGCAAATAGAAGATTAAGCAAATTAGAGAATGTGATGAGCTTAGCATAGTGCTGAGAATGTAGTAAGTCCACAAGTCCTAAATGCATGTTCATTTATTTTGGACTTTGGACTCTCTGCCTTTTTTGCTTACTCTTACTTCCTGGTTTTCAACAGATCACATACATGGTTGAGGTGACTTAAAGCAGATAGGTGTTGTTAACCATACTGGAATGTTTATAAGGAGTAATACATGTGTAAAGTGGATAACCATGTACTCTGGGGACTGGGGATGAGAGGGAGGAACAAAAGAAGGGCAGTAGGTTACAGATGGATGTACTCCATTAGAGTAGGTTAGAGAGGAAGATGGGAGAAATTCCTGTCTCCCCTAGCAGGCCAGAACAAACACACAGGATTATCTTACTTCACAAACAAATTAGGCACTTACTGGGAGGTGATAACATCTCCTTTACAAGCGGGTAGCCCAGGGAGACTGGCCAGAAAGGGATTTTGCAGAGAAGGTCTTCATGCCTTAAATGTAAAGCCTGGGTTTATTTCTAGATTAACAGGTTTTAAACTCAGCATCCCTGTCCCCAGGGAGTCAAACCTGGATGTTTACTTGCATGCTCCCACCTGGGTGCCTACTTGAGGCCTATCTTCTATTCTGATTTGGCAAATGGCTGCTTAGAGTGAACTGGCCCTTCCGTGAGATGGTCCCCTGGAGGGAAGCAGGGTCTGGAGAGTGACTCTGATTAGTGGTTCATAAACTCAACGTGTTCTGTCCTCAAGCCTTCACCGCTATTGACTTGCCCCTCAGTAACCTGTCTTAACACCACAAGCTACTCTTGGCTGTCTCATCCAAGCTCCAGAGCAAAGTCTTCTGCAACTGGTCCTAGAACTGTCCATCTCCAAGACCTTCCAGCATCTTTCTCACATTTGTTTACCCTGCCCTCCAGGCCTTTCACAGAGCCCTCTCTATGCCAGAAAGAGGAATATGCCCCCTGCCTTCTTCTGACTAACCTCACTCTATCCTTCAGGATGGCTCAGGTGTCATCTCCTCTGGGGAGCCTTGCTGGACAGCATCTCCTTTGTTCAGTGCTCAAAGTGGGAAGCCTGCCTACATGCTCCTGTTAGCCTCTGTGATTCCTTCTCCCTTTTTCTTTTTTTTGTACCAGGGATTGAACTTGGGGGCACTTGACCACTAAGCCACATCCCCAGCCCTATTTTATTTTTTATTCAGAGACAGGGTCTCACTGAATTGCTCAGCACCTTGCTTTTTGCTGAGGCTGGCTTTGAACTGGAGATCCTCCTCTTAGCCTCCCGAGCTGCTGGGATTACAGGCATGCGCCACTGCACCCGGCTCTGTGATTCTCCTATGGCACTCACCACACTGCCTTGGTTTCTGGCTAACTCTCCCAGCACACTGACCACTTTTGAGAAGGCGACTTTACATTTTCACTTTGGTTTCACCACCATCCAGCAGAGTGCCTGGCACACTAAGTACCCGGCAAAGGTTTACTGAATGAATGTTTGGGCCATAATTCAGAAAACAGGAAAAGAATTGCCACATACCCCAAAGCACCAACTTAACTAAGCCACAAGTCTGAAAACCTTCTTCATCTCTTCCTGTCACCTTGGCTCTCCCACCCCTACAGCAGGCAGGACGGRTGACTGGACCTTATGACGGTTTCCCTGCTCTTCACTCTTCTCTCTCAAGTATCCCCTTAATTGCCACCCAGTGCAAAGCAGTCACTCAGTCACTTGATGGCACACCAGCATGTTTTAGCTTGCTAGGCTGTAGCTCCATCTGAGCAAAGACCTTGTCTGCTCACTCTTGCATGCCCGGTATCTAACACAATGAGAGGTATGTAGTGGTCATTAAATATTTCTTAAATGAGTCCATACTTCTCTCATTGCATGCTGATTTAATTTGATGTATGTCTTCCATCTTTGCTGCCAGATTAGGTACTCCAGAAAAAAGCAGAAGCGCCTAGAGACCTGTGTCCCTCATAGTGGTGAAGGGTGGGAGGGGGACCTAGGTTCCCTTCCCAGTCCAAGATGGGATAATGCTGCCTGCTTGCAGCCTCCTCATGGCCTGCACTTCCCCATTCAGACCAGATGCAGAGGAAACCCAGTCCTTCTGCAGGCCACAGACACTGGGAACTCTCCTCCAGTTTTCTGYGAGAGCAGCTCAAACTATCCATTGCCCAGAGGACAGAGGAATGAGTTCCAAGCGGGCTTAGAAGCCAGCAGGAGGCCAGCACAGTGGCCACTACACATAGGACCTCTTCCTTTTCCCATCTCCCCACCCTGCCAGTGCCCATAGCTGCCTGGCTGGGAGCAGGAACTGGCCCCACCTCCTGCAGCTGGGCAGACGGGGTGGCTCTGGCTTCAGGAGCTGTGGCCTTGCTTCTGCCCTTCTCACCCCTGCAGAATTTGCTCTGCCAGCAGAGGGCCAGGTCTGGATTTTTTCACTTGCCCCTGGCACTTCCTTGAAGCCCTCTGGTTTACTGGAAATCATAAACTGTGAGTGACAGCCTTTATCACACCCCGAGCCTGGGTCCTCTTAATAGTTATGCTGGAGAACCAGAGACATTGGCCTCCAGGTTACTCCCAGTGTCTGATGTTTGCACCTGATAATTGAGGTCAGGTTTGTTTCTTTTAAGTCACATGATTTGCTTCAAGGCAGGAAGGTATTGGGGCCACTTGTTGCAAAAAGACCAGGAGGTGAGCACAGAAATGCTGTAAACCAGCTTTGGCAGCAAAGGTTGTGTTTTCACGGGCAGCCAGCTCTGCCCCCCCCCACCCCAGCTCAGCTGGTGGCTCATAAATGACCCTCCAGGGGCTGAATAAACCTCAACATTCCACTCAGAGAAAGCTCAGGACACCCTCTTCTCTCTAAGACACCTGCTAAATGGAGCCACTTTGAGTACCTTCTGCAGTAGGGTGGGCAAACGGATTAAGCACCCTAAATAGCCAACCAGAAAACACAGGTCAGTCAAGGGTCTCGAAATCAGTACAGGCCCCACCCTACCCAGACACCTAATCTTGTTCCAGGCTTTGCTTGATCTCAGGTATTTATCTCCTGGTTGTCATGGAGCTGCTGGGATAAACAGCAGCACAGCCAACCTGGCCCCACCGCCAGCTGCAGATTTTCCTGAGCACACTGGGGCTCCCTGGTGGCCACTGGTTGCCTGCCCAGCTCACATGCTGGAGTCTCTCACGTGGTCTCTCTAGGCATACAGTAGGTACTCAATAAATGCTTATTGTCTAACGGCCCATAAGCGTAATAAATGCTTATTGTCCTGAGGCATGTTGGTTCTTAGGCTCCGGGGTCCCTAGATAAGCAGATCCACCTCTCCTGTCACCACAGGGACTGCCAGCCAAGCCAGTCACACAGGTCATGGAGTGATCCTATAATGGAAGACAAACCCAGGCCTGGAAGTCAACTCTAAGAACACTGCCATGAGAAGTAGTGCCTGAGAAAGGGAGAGTTCCCCTCCCCTTTCTAATCAACCCCTCTTCAGGAAACCTGATTAACACTATTGACTCCTACCTTTTGGATTGTAAATAACTATCCCTAGAAATCTAACTACTCCCCTTTGAAATGTAAACGTCTCTGTGGAGGCTTTGGGCCCAAGCCCAGACATCTATCTATCCAAGGCCTTGTAAGAGGAGCCAGTTCTTCCCCTTATCACACTCTACTTCAGTAAACATGCTTCCCGCTAGAATCCCCATGCATGACCATGTAGTGGGTAGAATAAAAATTTTATGGTAGCCGATAGCCTATAGATGTAGTGAAAAACTGGAGATGGGTGCTCAGAATTTGGAGTCTGATCTCCTCTGGGCCCACCAGCGTAAAATAAAGTGTGAGTTCTCCTACTCTCCACTTGCCCCTTCTAGCCTGATTCCTGCAACAATCCCACTGACCCACAAACCACTTCCCCTGCTCCCAGAGTCAGACAGGAGCAGACTTTTGAGGAAGAAACCAGTTGCATGTAGCTTCCATAACAGCTGGAGGGCAGGCAGGGAACACGCCTGGCTACATTCATCCTGGATGTCACACACCACAGTCAGAGGGGCAGCAGATCCTGCCACCCACATACTGGTGGAACATCACCCCCTCTCTCTGTGTCTCCTGGTTTCCACCAGAGAACTGGGCGTACACTCAGAATGGATCTCCTAACTCTTGAGGATGAATAGCTAGCCTCAAGGAGACACTGCAAAGGGGCTCAAGAAGAACCTATCCCTGAAGACCCTAAATAGAAAGAGCCAGAATGCTTCTAAAGCAGAATAGTTTCCCCCCTTTGAGATGCACAGCTCACTCAGAAAGGGCCTTGGAGGGTAAGGATAGACCAGGCTACCTAGATGATCTCCCAAGTCACCGATTCACTAACTCAGTCATTGCAATGTTCAGCGGGGGCAGTACAGAGACCAGTGTGGRCTCTGGAACAGGACATGTAAAGCTCAGGTTGGCTGCATGATCACAGTATCGTCTTAGGCATTATTGAACCTTTCTCTCTGTTTCATTATCTGAATGTTATGTGAATTAAAGGGGACAATCTACATGAAACCCTTAGCATAGTAAACCTTCAATGTATTTTTAGCAATGGGACTATTTTTTTCTTTCAAGGATGCTGAACTAAAAACAGAAGATGCAGAGAAACCAACGATATGGCAGTACACTTCTGCAAACTTAATTATCCTCCCTGGGTAACAGAATATCACAGCAAATAACAATGTAGTGAAGAGCAGTTTGAGATATTGGGTTCAGTCACTCTAGAATACWGAGGCATAGCAAGTGCCCAGTCTGCAAGAGGCTGGGCCACATATGCAAGCTGTTTCCACCTACAGACTGCAAGAGCCCACCGATATGCCTAATAATGAGGATAAAAATAGCTTGCCACATGGGCACATGCTGTGCAGTCCATATATCCATACCGCATATCTGTGAGGTAGATATTCTTACTCCCATTTCACAGATGTGGAAACAGAGTTGGAGAGGCTAATTTCCTAAGCACACCCTCAAGCTCACCCACCCACATGCACCAGGACAGAACTGAGTTTCAACCCCAGGCTTCACTGTGTGTGGGCTTTTCCCCTGGGCTACCCTGTCTGAGCAAAGTGCAAAGTGCTGTTGTTCCCTGGGAACAACAAACCTGGGTAGTCCTTAAATCTACTTTGTCAGGAGCAAGGGCTACCACTCTATCTAAGACCAGTGAGAATAGTTCCCAGGCAACAGGGTGACCAGGACAACTGGAAAGATGTCTGATGCCCCTGCCCCACAGTGCAAAAGTAGGTTCCAAACAGCCCGATGGGAACAACTCTTTAGTAAAGAGTCCATGCCTCTCCCCACACCCAGTTCCCTGGCCTGAGCCCCAGAGTCCTGGCATAGGAGGGAGGGCCTGCCCATCTGCTTGCTCCCTACTCCAGGCTCCAAGGAGGTCTCCGATGCCCAGGGAGACCTACAGGATCTGGCCCACAGCCAGGCATAGGGGAGAAGGGTATTGGGAGCACCCTG